GGAGTGCACAAGGGCTACTCTATTTAGACAGGGAGCGGCTCCCCAGACACATATTTTCCCAAGGCCCTCTTAACCCTGCACAGCCCTAAGAAAACCAGGGCTAGCATAGCCTGATCTCTAACAGGAGATCAGAAATGATGTCTGGGTTAGAGCCACGCTACTGATAACAAGTCACATATGACAGGCGGGGCCTTGTGCAGAACATCCTCTGTCTTATTGACTTCCAAGGTCAGCCTAGGAGGGAGGTACTGGTATAACCCCACTTTCCAGATAAGGAAGTGGAGGATCCACATGACTATATGTAATATTTCCCAAGGCTCAGACATGGGAGAGGCAGAATCAAGCAGTCTGAGTCTTAACCAAGATGTTTAGCTGACTGTCAGTAGAGGCAAACTCCCCATCTACCAATATCATGAATGTAAAGGCCTGTAAGTCAAGAAGGATGTCATGTGCCTAGTATTATTTAAAAAAAAAAAAGATCTATTATAGCAATTACAGGGACTGTTAAGCACATCACAAATATCAACTGGTGTAGGCACCATTATCAAGCCTATTTTACAGATGAGGAAGCTGAGGCACAGAGAGGTTAAATAACCTGACCAGGGTTGCACAGGTAGGGATGGTGGGGCCAGGCTCAAAACCAGGCCTCTATGCTACCTTTTCTCACTGGTAAGGACAAACAGATGGCCTCCCGTGAACTTTGGCTTTCTTAATTCACTGTCAAATAAAAAAAACAAATCCAGATTTTGTATGGAAAGACTTTATTCTACAGTATTACTATGGGGCCAGGGGCAGGACTGTTGCAGTGAAGGGAACACTTTGACCACAGGTCTGCAAGTATCTCAAGGGTTAGACAAAAAAGAGTTTTGCTTTCATGGGGAGGGTGAACAAGTCTGAAAAGAACCAGGTGAGGGGAATGGGGATAGGCCAGGAGTGATCAGACGGCAGAGGAGGGACCATCTTCTCTGAGGCCAGCCTGTTCTCAGGAGGGGCTATCTGCTGCCTCAGGCTGATGGTGGGCCAGGACCTGGGGGAAGGAAAGAATCTATACCAAAGTTTGGTTAACGAGCATTTTGTTCCAGTGACTCTCTGGGGACAAACAGTTTAGCTTGTCATTTATGAAGCAAAGGGTTGGAATTTGGAGGGCCTGGGTCTGGCCTTGTCATTGGTAAACAAGGAGGGCATCCTTGAATCCTCTCTAATTCACGTGGAGAAGGTGACTCCTTTGCAGGAAACTATTTCCCAGAACACAAAGAGTGGAAGTGGTTTTTTTGCGGTACGCGGGCCTCTCACTGCTGTGGCCCCTCCTGCCATGGAGCACAGGCTCCAGACGCGCAGGCTCAGCGGCCATGGCTCACGAGTCCAGCTGCTCCGCGGCATGTGGGATCTTCCCGGACCGGGGCACGAACCCGCGCCCCCTGCATTGGTAGGCGGACTCTCAACCACTGCGCCACCAGGGAAGCCCTGGAAGTGTTTTTTAACTTTTGCTGTTTTCAAGGACCACAGGGCTCGGTAAAGTTCAATATGTCATCTCTCATTTTGTGGCTAGCATCTCCCGTATGCCAGGCTCTTCCTAGGAACTTTCCGAAGAGAGTTAGATCCTGGATTCACGAAGCTGCTTAAGCTGGTCTAAGGCATTACCTTGGAAACTGTCTTTGGATCATTCTCTACTCAGAGAAAATGGGGTCAGGATCAAAGTGTCTCTTCCTTCTTTAACTTAGCATAATGTTTTCAAGATTCATCCTTGTTGTAGCGTGTATCAAAACTCCATTCCCTTCTACAGCTGAATAATATTCCACTGTACGGCTAGACCACGTTTTGTTTATCCACCCGGCCACTGATAGATGACCCTTTCTCGCCTTCCTTGGTAGGCACCCTGGCTGAGTTCATTTGCTGCGTGGAGGTGAAGGCCACAGCCTGCATCTCCGCACCACAGGATGATTCTCTCTGCACAGAGGCAACATGCTGGCATCCTGATATGACACAAACCTTTCAGGGGAACTGGGAGCTCTACAACCCATGGCCCCAATATGCCCAGCCACACCACCCAGGAGGCAGAAGTACAGGGTGTGGTGCGTCGCAAATGGGAGGGGCCTTCTGTGAACACCTGCTCTCACCCAGCAGAGGGTGTATCATCTGGCTCCAGGGTCACGCTTCACTCCAGTCTGGCTCTGAGTTAGTTATTTCCAGGTTAATTCCTATCCTTCCTTGCTGGGCCACAAGAGGCTCATTCAGAGGCTGGCTTCCCCAGACCTTCCTTCTCTGCTTTCACAGATAAAGGAGAAGGTGGTCCAGGATAATGAAGAGTCATGCAGTGGGATTCAGGTCCATCCCTTCTATCTCTGTGACCTTGGTCTCTCTCATTTTCACTTTCCCCATCTGTAAAATGGGAATGATAATCTCTACTGGAGACATGGGGAGAATAATTTTACAAGACAGATTTGACCACCAGTGACATTTGGTGGTTTCCAGGGAGAGGCCACATGCATTGCAGCTGCCACCTGGTGAACTCGCCACTGTCAAAGATCTGGCCTCAGATCTTTTTTTTTTTTTCCTCTAAAATACTTAGCTTTATTAGAGAAATGGTACTAAAAATAACAAAGATTCAAACAACATTTGCTCTATTCTACTTACATATCATAAATAAGAAGATTTGATGCAAGACACACACTCCTTCACAATCTTTCCACGCAGACCCTGAAGCTGGATTTGTCCAACGTCAGGTCCATTTCTACAGGGCAAAGCTACATTTGCAGGGCTCGCAAAATTGTTATACGCATGTAGTATTATATTTTAAAACCAGAATTCTAATGTGCTAATTTACAGCACAGCAGAGATCTGTCACGTGGCCCAGACGCTTAGGTCTGCCTCGATTGGTACGGTCTCCTCCTCTGACCAGGACCAGGCAGGAAACCATGCACACACAGGTAGATGTGGACATACAAGAAACAAAGTAAAGTGCAATCAACTATGGTAACCAGACGCCTACATCTTGTGTTAGGAGGGGCAGAAGTGCCCACATCTTCTGTCTGAGGGGCAGAAGTGCCCACATCTTCTGTCTGAGGGGCAGAAGTGCCCGCATCTTCTGTCTGAGGGGCAGAAGTGCCCGCACTTCTTCCTAAGGCTGCGCTCTCTTGGGCAGTGTTTGCGGACACCACCTGCAATGGCCTCTTGGTGATACCTTTTCCTATACTTACAGGGCCCATCTTCGTTCTAATTGGCACGACCTTTAAAAGAAGAGAAATTACACAAGAAAAATCAGTACTCTCTTGCAGCAAAAATGGAAAACATTGTAAAACAAAGCTCTGTCCATTCTGCCTCTCCTCCTAGAGGCAACTACTATTATCATCTTGGTGTCTCTCCTTCTAAATCTTTCCTTTTATATTTGCATGCACAGGTAGGTAGAGCATTAGTTTCTTCCACCCCTGTTTTGGGTCATAAATTGGATTCTTTATAATAATTGCTGTACTGTAACATTTTATTTCACTTAACAAAGCATCTTGGAGCAGTATCTATTCCAGTTTATATAGTTCTACCCTATCTTTTAAAATCACTGTGTCATATTCCATCATGGGTACCATAATTTATGCAACCATTCTCCAATTCATGGATGTTAAGGTTAATTCCTTCTTTTGCTATTACATACAGTCCTGTAAAGAACATCCTTTGTCTCTGAATATATGTGAGTTTTTCCTCTAGGATAGATACTGAGACTTTTTGGGTCTCAGTATCTAAAATGGTCATAGATTTCACCCCTTCACATTTATCAGCAATATCTGTGAATGCCTGTTTCTCTGTCCTTTTCCCTTTTGATGGTGATTATCTTCTCTTTGGAGACAGTAACACTTCTGGTCAGATTCCAGGCAGGTCTTGTTAGCTTCGAAGTCAGACATCTTTTCTGATCACTGACATACTGAACCTTGAGTTGACTGTCAGCATGCTGATTTCCTGAATTTTCTGATTCTTAGGGGGATGCCTGACTGTAGCCCCCAACTGCTGACAAGACAGATTCCCTAAAGGTTTACAGGAAAGACTGCCTCACACAGCCGATGTTAAGATGATCTCTCGTCTTTAGAGCTGTAGAAACATATTAATTGTTACACGTTTATTCTGGTATGGCTCAAAGGGTAATTTTATGTCCACGTTGTCTTCATCTTCGGAATTTCAGGTATCTACGTTTGTACTTGTGGGCGTGAAACAATTTCTCTAGGGTCCGTAATATCCTCCAGAGTGGGTTGGGTAAACTCCCATCTCAAATTCTGGTAGGCTTGACATGTATTTTACATATGATCTTATCCTTTGGTTTCACAAAGCAGTGCACTTAGGGATTTCTATCTGGTTTCTGTTGCAGGTGTCTTCCTAGGATTGATGTCTATTCAGTGGTTTGGGAGAAGGCCATGGCTAGGGAAAAAGTTCTGAAGAGGTGAGAAGGGCAGGTGGCTATGAGCCTTCATCTTTCATAATCCAGAAGGAGGTGGCCCCTGTGGGCAGCCTCTGCTATTGTCCTGGGTCCACTATGAAGCAGGACACGACACTTTGCTACATCTTTAAAATGAAGAAAACAACTGCAAAGTACTAGTTTGTAATGAATGTTTTACCGAAGATTTTATGCAGTGATGGAGGTTATTACATAAAATACTACATGCGGAGATTAATAAAAAAGCTTCCATTAGATGTCTTAGTTTTCCCTCCTACGTTCTTTGGCCACCAGCCACTCCTGGACCCCTCCCCCTCATCAGCATTTCTCCTCCCACTTATGCCCCCACCTCAAATTCTACCTCACCTCCTTTCTTTTTCATACAGAGAACTTTGTCTCTTGTGGCTTCTCTGCCCATTTTCTCACTTAGAAAAAAAAAAAAAAAAAAAATCAAACTTCCTCAAGACCTACTCTCTCCAGAGAACATGGACCATCATAAATAGCATGCAGTGATTTTTTTCTTCAATGATTTTTCCTGCCATTGTGGTTTGAGCCCACTTTGTATTGCCTTGACCCCTTGCAGGTGGCGATTCTGGGATTGGCCATGCTTTGTCCAAGTATCTGGACGAGTTGGGCTTCACGGTATTTGCTGGAGTTCTGGATGAAAAGGGATCTGGAGCAGAGGAATTACGAAGAACCTGCTCCAAGCGTCTCTCCGTGCTCCAGCTGGACATTACCGACCCGCAACAGATAAAAGATGCCCACAGCAAAGTGAAGGAAAAGCTGCAGAACAGAGGTACTGCCTTCAGCCACCCGCGCCCTCGAGTGCCCTCCACCCTCCTTGAAGACGCCCAACACTGGTTCCGGCCTCTAATTACCATTGTCCTCTAGTCTGTTCTGGCACCTGGAGACCCCTGTACTGAGCACCTGCCACATGCTGGCACCTTTTGCAGGCATGAAGACATTAGGAATGAGTCAGGTGTGGTCCGTCCTCAGAACTTACAGAATTCTCCATCCCATTCCCTCCAGCATCTGCTTGGCCACGCTCCCATTAATTACTGCCCCTCCTCATTTCTTTCCTCTCACCGATATTAACTTGTATTAGACTTAAGAAAATAGCGTCATAATCACGGTCTTCCCTTAGCCACTGCCTTTCTCTTCCTCTTCCTTTATATCCAAGCTCCTTGGAACCCTGCCACCCTGTTCTCACTTCTCACCATGCCTCCTAAGTGGCCTGGCCAAGCGAATCAGTATTATCCTAAACACCAAGCTCTTAATTTCTCTGCTGTGTTTCAGTGTGTTGATTATCCGCCCCTGCTTGGGCTTTGGGGTCTCCAGCCCCCTCTTGCCCTCCTAGTTCTCTGCTCACTCTTTCTGCTTCTCCTGTGTGAACCTCTTCCTCTGCTCCTCCCCCCATTCCCCTAAATGTGAATGTTACTGAGGGCTCCATCCCCAAACTTCCCACTCCATGTTTCCCGGGATGTACTGTTCTCTCCTTATACCAGGAATTCTCACCTGGGAAGTGTTTTAAAATACCTGTGCTTGGGCCCAGGATGGGCTATGTAACTTGACGGGGCCCAGGGCAAAATGCAAATTATGTGGTGCTCCTTGTTTACAAAATGTTTAAGATGTTTAGGTGGTGCCAGCAGAAAATTAAACCAAACATGAGACCTTTCTGAAACACAGGTCACACACCCGTGATACCCACCCAACCTGGGACCTTCCCCCAACAGATTAAATCAGTATCTACAGACAATAACTCAGCTAATACTTCCACAGTGAGGCCAGTACTGTTGTTCTCCTTTTGCTGAGAATGTCCACTGTAAAGAAGATCCCATTTGGGGGTCCCAGGCATCAATACATTTGAAAGCTCCCCAGGTGATGCTAATATTCTGCCAGAGTTGAGAAACACTGCGATTTAATACGATAACTTCTGAATGTGTATTACCAACCTAGCTCTCCTCTAAACGTCAGGACCTATATGCATATAAAATTGGTTAGCAGACATCCCACCTCAATTTGTCAAAAACTGACCTCATTATCTTTTTCTCTGCTGCCGGTCTGCAAATCAGTTTACCCTCCTGCATCCGACGGCTCAGACATTGGCTCAAACACCAGCACTGCCACCTAATCTGTCATTCAAGTCAGCAGCTGGGTGGGTCACTTAGACCTGCCGCTTACCCTCGATTTCTGCATCCTATTGGTCCAGAGTCCTGTCAATTCTACGTCCTACATCTTTATCATCCCACCCCTTCCTATCATCCCCAGGCAGCTGTGGCTTAACTGGGGCCCTCATCTCCCTCCTGAACTCCCACAATGGTCTCCTTGCAACCAGGCTTTCCTTCCCCATTCCAAATGGAGAGTGGTCTTTACAATGTGCACATCTTATAGTGTCATCCATTTCCTGAAAACCTTTTTTTTTTTTTTGCCGTACGCGGGCCTCTCACGTTGTGGCCTCTCCCTTTGCGAAGCACAGGCTCCGGACTCGCAGGCCCAGCGGCCACGGCCCACGGGCCCAGCCGCTCCGCGGCACGCGGGACCCCCCTGGACCGGGGCACGAACCCGCGACCCCCGCATCGGCAGGCGGACTCCCAACCACTGCGCCACCAGGGAAGCCCATCCTGAAAACCTTTTGATAATCAGAGCTTCCATGTCTTGCATTCCTCCCATGAGCAAGGCCTATGCTTTGCCTCATTGAATGGTTCTGTGGTTCTCCATCCACCACCAAACACCTTAACAAGGATCCGAAGGTCCTTCAGGAAAATGGCGCTTGCCAAACCCTTAGTCTGCAATACCTGCTGGTCCACTCAGTAAATTCTGGAATGGTTTCCAGAACAGAATGTACTAGTTTACATCTTTGCACGTCCAGCTTCCTCTTACCCAAATTCCCCTCTTGCCTCACTCCATTCCTCTAGACTTTTGCTTTTGTCCAGCTGCAGACTCTACTCTCAAAGGAGACCTAGCTCAGACATCTCTTGCATGACCCTCCTGGTAATCCAGGTAACATCATTCACTTCCTGTTCTAGACCTTCACCTGATATCCGTTGCACACACTGGTATTACCAATTATACAAATCTGTCCATCTCTCATTCCTCACCACAAGGTTCCTTGAGAACCAGAACCATGTCTCCAACAGGATCCTTTCAGAGGCAAGTGACACAACCCAATTCAAAATTGCTAAAGCATAAAGGGAATGTATTTTGCTTATATAACTAAAAAGGCCCATTGATTTCAGGCATGTCTGGATCCAGGCACTTAAGCAACGTCATCAGCACCCAGTCTCTGTTTCTTAGCTCTGCTTTCTCCTGTTTTGCCCTCACTTGGGGGTTTTCCGTGGAGGCCTCAAGCACTTCCTGCTTACATCCTCTTTACAGCTGACTTTCCCAGCAAAAAGAGAGTAATATTATCTGCTTCATTTGGTAGTTGAAGGAGTTATTATATACAGAGCACTTACAAGAGTCCCTGACATGAGGCAAGCAGTCAGTAAGAACCCCTATTTTCCATTCATTCAACATTAAGCACAGCCCCTGGCATATAGTAAGTGCTCAATATACATCTGAGAAATGAGATGTACATCACTCAAGATACAGAACTGTTCCGTCACCACCAGGCTTTCTCATGCTACCTTTTTAGAGCCCTATTCTCATCCTTAACCTGTTCTCTATCTCTTTAACTTTGTCATTTAAAGAATATTCTATAGATCTGCCACCTGTTTTTGTGTAGCCTGTGAGCTCAGGATGGTTTTTACATTTTTAAATGGTTAAAAGAAATCAGAAGATTTTTTTGACGCATGAGAATTATGTGGAATACGAATGTCAATGTCCATAATGTTTTATTGGAACACAGCCACTCCCATTCATTTACAGATTGTCTGTAATGGCAGAGTTCAGTGAGTAGGACGTGCAGTGCTAAAATATTTACTATCCACCCTTTTGTAGAAAATGTTTGCTGGCCCCTGTTTTAGGGCATTCTCGAGCTGCCACCTGCATGTGGACTGGTCAAAGGTGTGCATCAGGCTGAGTGAGTTAAAACCATCATTTGGAGGTGGGAGTGGAGGCATCCTCTCCTCCCATCACCATCCTTGTAATAGCTGTTGAGCTCTTACTACATGCCAGGCATCATCTCACTTAATGCTCCCAATCACTATTACATGTAAATGTCAGACCACCAACTCAGGTGTGCAAGAATTGTAATTTTATTTTCTATAAGTCAGCGCAGTTTCTATTTTGAGCCATCTTTCTGCCACGTGGCGAAAACTGTTTCAGTCATTTTGAGCTTTATCCCATTTCCCCAGGGTAGCATCTTAAATTCCTGGGGATGGGACATTTCATCTTCAATGGTCAGTGCCTCATGCTGGACTCTGCTGAGATGTCCAGTGCTCTGTCCAGTCCTCATGCAGGTTGGCTGCTACCTACTTCTTGGAAGCCATCAGAAAGGCACTGTTAGGGTTGGTGCCTCCTGCCATTTCTGTGCTTTTGCTAGCACTGAGGCTCGTTCTGCTCCTCTGCATAGCCCACTGGTTCTCACACTTGGGTGTGCATCAGGATTACCTCGAGGGCACGTTATATCACAGTGCTGAGCTTCAACAACAATTTCTGATCATCAGTTTCTGATCCAGCTGGTCTGAGGTGGGGCTCCAGAATGTGCATTTCTAACAAGTTCCCAGTTGATGCTGATGCTGCTGGTTTTGGGCCACACCTTGAGAAACAGCTGGTCTAAACCATGCCGAGGCTCAGGGAACTCAGAGAATCTGCTTCAGGTCTATCTAGCTGAACATACCCCGGATGTTGCTCCTCTGTAAAGAGGACCCAGGGACTTCTCTGGTGGCGCAGTGGTTAAGAATCCGCCTGCCAATGCAGGGGACGCAGGTTCAAGCCCGAGTCCGGGAAGATCCCACATGCTGCGGAGCAACTAAGCCCGTGCGCCACAACTACTGAAGCCTGTGCACCTAGAGCCCGTGCTGCGCAACAAGAGAAGCCACCGCAATGAGAAGCCCGCGCACCGCAACGAAGAGTAGCCCCCACTTGCCGCAACTAGAGAAAGCCCGTGCACAGCAACGAAGACCCAACGCAGCCAAAAATATATAAATTAATTTTTTTGAAAAGCCCAGAAATTAGAAAATAAAGAGGACCCAGGTCACTCACTTCTGCTCCAGATCCCCCTCCCCCAAAACATCTGGAGTTTTTGTATTACCTGTCTGCTACCGTTTAGGGCGATGATTCCAAAGCTTGGTTGTACATTGGAATCACCTAGGTAGGGACTTAAAAACTACTAATGCCAAGGTCCCCTTTCTTCGCTACCCCACAATTTCTGATCTAATTGGCTCGGGTGTGGCCTGGGCATTGGGGTTTTAATAAGCTCCCCAGGTGATTTTAATGTGAAGTCAAAGATGAAAAATCACTAGTTGTGGACAGCGGTTCTCCAAGTGTGGTCCAGGCCTGCAGCATCAGCATCACCTGGGAACTTGTTAGAGATGCAGATTCTCAGGCCCTACCCCAGACACCCCCAATCAGATTCTCTGGAGGTGGGGCCTGGCGACCTGTGTGTGAACAAGACCTCTTGGTGATCCTGGTCAGTCAAGGGGATCAGGCTGGCTGGAGAAGGGCCTAGAGCTCAGGGACTCTGCAATCTTTTTCGCTCTTGGCAATTCTGCTCTAGTTTTCCCGGACCAAGGAATCTTCTCTAGTCGAAGGAAAAGGGAAGACAGGATCTTATATCATTGCACTGCATATAAGATATATCGTCTTATATCTGCATGTCCGAAAGGTATCATTCTGTCTCCACACACTCCTTTGAGGGAGAAACATGAGGTAGACTTTGATTAAATCTCCTCCTTGCTGTGTCATCCCTCCACAGGTATAACAAATATCTAGCTGCTCGGATGTAGGAAAGGGCTTTGAGGCAAAAGAATATTCCTGCAAAAAACCATTGCTTAATATTTCACAAGTAATCAAGGAGATTAAGGTTTGAGAGTTGAAGTGATCTGCCTAGATCCTAAATCTCAAAGGGACCCTTTTGACTTCAGAGCTTGGAGGGTTAAAAATCTTCCCACTCTCCCATCTTGCCTGGCCTCAGAGTTGTTCCCTTCTGCCCTCAGGACTGTGGGCTGTGGTCAACAATGCTGGGATCCTTGGCCTCCCAACTGACGGGGAGCTCATTCCCATGACCGAATACAAACGATGCATGGCCGTGAACTTCTTCGGGGCCGTGGAAGTCACAAAGGCATTTTTGCCTCTTCTTAGGAAATCCAAGGGGAGGCTGGTGAACATCAGCAGCATGGCAGGTGAGTTGACCTTTCCCCACAAGGTCGTGGGTGCTTGTCATGCAAGATGTGACCCTCAGTGCTCCCTGGGGGCTGAACGAGAAAGCAGGGCACTCTCACGCAGGGCTGGGTGAAGAATAGTCAAATCGTGTGTTTACCGTTGATCTGAGCACAATAAAACCTTTCTTTCCTTTCAAATCCTTGCATGTACTGACTCTTACCTACCTTCTAACTCATCTATTCATCACTGGGGATTTAGGGCTCTCACACATCTTCACAGTGCGACCGCTAATGCACAAGCTTCCTAGATTTGGAAAGGAAACCCTGCATACACTTCACGTCATCGTGACAGGGAACCTGTTTTCAACCCTCCCTGAATTCTGCACACTCTGTTGTTCCCTGTGAGATGAATAGCAAATGTCTTCACTCTGTTGGCACTGTCAGAGCCCTGTGTCTCAGTTGGCTGCCTGCTAGGATTTTCCATAAGACAATTCCCATCGTTCTGCAATCTCAAGGCAGTTGGGGCAGGGTGTGACATTTGATAACTCATCTCTCTCCATTTCAGAGAACAGATAGTCAACAAGTCAAGGGTTTAACGATCTCCCTTCCATAAAAAATGCCCATGCATGTGATGTCTGATTGTTTCTTCTAGAACAGATATTTCCAAACTGGGGTTCCTCAGAGCCTTACTCAGCTTTGAGTGGTGTCCATGGGGTTGTCTTTTGGGCCACTGCACGGGTGAGAGGGAAGCCAAGAGGGTGGGCTCTGGACTCCAGGATCCTGCCTTCACATTGAGGAATACCACTCTTCACTGTTGGATCAGTTGGTTCTGAGTGATATATATTTTTTTTAAATAAAGGATCCAACTATTTGGTTGGTTGGTTTTGGTTTCTTTGTATTTTTTTTTTAAGGGAGTCATTTTTGTGTATTTTCTAGACAATCATTGTTGTCCCTCATATTTTCTTCCCTGGTTCTAACTTAGCAACTTCTTCTAACTTACTAGCTATGTGAGTGTGTCACTAGTGTTGCTGGTTGGCCTGAGGAAGGAAGGAAGGAAAGAAGGAAGGGAGGGAGGGAGGGAGGGATGGAGGGAGGGAAGGAGGAAGGAAGGGAAGGGAAGGGAAGGAAAAGAGGGAGGGAGGAGGAGAAAGGATGGAGAGAGAGACGTCTAAGATGGTTAAGAGCAATGAGTACTGTATTTCAAATTTTATGAGAACCCCAAAATATTTCCAATTATTTTGCTACCTTGCTAAAGCAAACAAATCCTGAGAAAATACATTTGCAATATTTCACCCTTAACTTTCTTCTGAACTTAGCCTTTACAGTTTTGACCTCTGTAGAAACCTCACTTTTCTCAGTTCCCTGGTACAATCTGGTACATCTGGAAAAGTCTCACATGCTCCTTTGCCTCACTCATTCAACAAATATTTACTGAAAAGACTTATCATTGCCTTCTCCTTGACACAGCGACAAGGAAGTTTTTTCTCTTCCTCTCTTGGTTCTCAACTTTGAGCATAAGATTCGTTCATAAGATTTTACTTATGTATCACTGATATGCACACTACCTGCTATAGGCCCAGTGTCTGGCGTGCAGTAGAAGCTCAATTAATAAATGAAAAAATGCAAGTGTGCAGATGAATGAATGGGCAAGTGACGAATTTACGCTACAGAGGATGCCCATTCATACACCTTCAACTTGACCTCTAAAACTTCTTCTAAGCCAAGACTTTGAATGGACTTGTCACATATTTCCACTGGAGGAAAATGTTTGAACGTTAAAATAAATCACACATCTCACTCCTATTCTCACCACTGGACATGCATAATCTTTTATACTCAGCCTTACTAGTTCCATTCCAGTATCTTACCATCGTCACCAAGTCAACATGTCTGAAGCTAAACTTTCTATCAGCCATTCAGAGCTTCCTCTCTTGACTTCTTTCTGTTCATCTCCTAGTCCTTTAGGTTTCAGAGCTTTGAGCCTTCTTGGATTTGTTTCTCCCTGTGCCTTTCTCTCCTTTTCTCCCACCCAGTCAGTCACCAAGATGTATGGAGTCTTCCTTCATCACATCCAGCTTTGAACCCTTATGTTTCAAGGAAACTCTAGAAATAGGTTCATTTGCGGGACTCAGAAACCACTCAGGGAATTTTATAAAGTTGTTAAAACAATAGCATGAAAGCAGAACAGAAAGGAAGCGTATGTACTCGACAGGGCAGGTGTTTGTAAGAGGACAGGAGCCAAAGATCTTAAATCATGCTTATAGTTTCCCTCATGGATGAGGGGCAGAGGAGTTCAGCAGAATCCCTAGCATTTTGCTGATGAGCGTTTTGCAGAACAATGGACAAGATTTTTGAGCAAGCGGATAAGAAGCTAGACTGTAACACAAGAATCAGAAAAGTCATGGCATGTGTAAAAGACACTATATAACCAACCACCAATCCACAAAATTCACATCCAATGTGATGCCAACTTGATGATGTGTCTCTTGGCAAAGCTAATGTAATAGTAATTTTGGAAAACGTACTTATTTGGGAGTTCACCCTGGTCTTTTTCTAATTTTGAAGATGGAGGTATGGAGAGAGAGGGAGACAGCCAGTAAGTGTTCTCCAAAAGGAGTTCATGGTTGCCCTGACCCACAGGTTGTCTTGAGTCTGGCACCTCGGCCACCCTCTGCATGACAAGAATTTCAGTGGTGTAGATTTATCGTGGAAGTTTGCATGAGCCAGGAGGAGCTGAGATGGAACTGATGACTCTGTTCAAGTTATCCACTGCTGTGCAGTAAATAACCGCAAAGCACGTGTCTCAGGATACTGTGAGTAGGCAACTGGTCTGGTAGAATTGTGGTTTCTCAAATACATGCATGACCTAAAACCTGGAACCTGGAATATGTGACCTTACTTGGCAAAAGGGACTTTGCAGGTATGACTGAGTTAAGGATCTGAAAGGCAGAGATGATCCTAGATTATCTAGGTGGGTCTGATGCGGTTACAAGAATCCTTATAAGAGGGAGGCAGGAAGGTCAGACTCAAAGAGAGGTTGGAAGATGGAGGAAGAAGCCATGAGCCAAAGAATGCAGGTAACTTCCAGAGGCTGGAAAATTCAGGGGGGATAAACTGCCTAGGTTTTGATCCTGTCTTTACCACTGACAATGGAGTGACCTAGGACAAAGTCCTGAACTTCTGAGTTGCAGCTTCTGCATTTTCCGATGGGGATAATAATGATCGTTTCTTCTTAGGGCCGTGGTGAGATGAGATGAAATGACACGGTTTTAAGCATCAGCCTTGCACCTGGCATGTGGTAGAGTTAGAGACCCAAAAGCCATCTGCCATGAAGAGGCTGGCTCTGTGTGCACCTGTGGCTTTTTATCCTGCCAACTGCTGGCATTGCCACCTGGGACTGTTCCATCCTGCTGCTGTCACACACTAGCTCCTGGGCAAATAAGCCCAACAGGTCACTACTTCCACATTTGACCACATCTCCTCTGGGAGGATTTTCCACCCCCCTGTAATCATGTTTATCATCCCTCCCACAGAGATAGAATAGCTCTTTAACCTAAATCCTGGCAAGGAAGTTTGATAAATATTTAACCAAGGATTGTAGGAAGTGGGAGATGACTCTTTGATTGATTGTACGAAGGGCACTTGAAAAATCTTTATGTTTGAGAGGTCTAAAAGTCTTTTCTGGCCAGTTTTCTTCTTAAGAAATTGCAGAGTAAATACCCATGTTATGTCATAAGCTGTGATTGAATGAGAACAGCTGAAAGCAAACCTTATAAAACGACTAAGGCCTCAGGGATTTTGGCCGTTGTGCTTTGAATCGTGCTCCTGTATTACTAGCTGGGTGATCTGGGGCAAGTAGCCCCACTTGTCTGTGTCCATTTCATCTTCTGTCGTGATAGGGTGACACAGCTCCTGAGTCTAAGGCAGCATTTCTCAACCTGAACATTATCGATATCTGGGGGAGGCTAATTCTTTCTGTGGGGGGCTGTCCAATGCGTTGTAGGATGTTTAGCAACATCTGTGTTCTTGACCCATTAGATGCAAGTAGCACCCAGCGCTGACCTTCAGGTATTACCACGTGTCCACTGGGGTGGGGGTGGGATGCAAAGTCAGCCCCAGTTGAGAACTTCTGGTCTCAACTGTAGATCTAAATGCATTGTGGATTCTGAGTGTTTAGCACAGTTACTGGTACACAGAAAGTACCCTAGTAACAGGGACCTCTCTACTGAGAGATAGTAATGGTTGCCCATCACATCGAGCTATTTAAAATGCATGAAAATTACTTGACACCAAAGTAAGTGGCCTCAGAGAGTCTTACAAGTCTACAGATTTTAGGTATCCGGCAGATTTCACAGTTCCAAACTTGAGCCTGGTCTTACTTAGTCCGGAGGAGTTGACAAGGGGATCATTCCTGGATTTTTTTTCTTGCCGAGTTGGCTGCCTTAAGGGAATCATCTGGCAAATCATTCAGCCAGTCTCAGCTGCTCAGTGACGTGAGAGGAAGCCAAAGCTGAGATTTGTTTCCTTAAAACTCGCACACTAGCCAGGGCTTAGCGTAGGGTAAGGGGGAGAGGGGAGAGCAAGATGGAGTGAACGTCTTCATGCTGAGCTGAATTTGACGCTTACACCCCTGAAGTCGTTCAGTTCTAACATGTGCAGGATGCAGATACTGATTCCTTTTTAGATCAAGCACACTCTAGCCCAGGATCATCCAACTGGTAAACAATGAAGTCAGTGCTGGTAACTGGGTCTATTTAACTCCAAATTCTGGGTTCCTCTCACTTTTCCAGATTACCAAGCAAGAACACACCAGGGAAATGGGGGGCGGGGGGCAGGGCAAAAAAAACACAGACCCTAACGCTAGTACGTTCAAGCAATGATTAGGAAGTGTAGGCAATTTAGGGCTGCCTCCTACACCAGTGCTTCAAACATTAATGTGTATGGTGATCAGCTGGGGGTCTTGTTAACATGCAGAATTTGACTGAGTTGGTCTGAGGGGGGCCCAAGACTCTGTATTTCTA